CAATTTTTGAGGTACTGGAATGGTTTATATATGTTTGCGACCGTAGTAGGATGGGCACCTGCGACCACGGCCAGACGCAGGTGCGTTTTTGGCGGGTTTGCACCAATTTGATCAATGGCTGGCTGGCTTGAGGCGGACAGTAGCAAACAATTGAACCCCCGGAGGTGCCCACCCACAGTCAGAGACGATGCGTGGCGCTTGTGCTCTACGTCAGTCGAGCTGTAAGCTTATAACCCGTAGACCTGTTACCGCCCGTGGCTAGGATTTACGGGAAGTGGACCATCGAACATTTCCTAACCTTCGAAGATGATGGACTAGGATACTGGCAGGGCGCCCACTATTGACAGGAGAACTACTCGGGTCCTCAGACAAAAACTGGATTTAATGAGCACCCGAAAGGTACCGGGTCTAGCACATGGTCAGTTCACCGACACATGCGCACTGGTGTCCTGGATATTAGCAGAGATAAGGGCGAAACCCAAATATCACACAGCGATGGCCACAAGGAGGCGCCCAGGATATGAGCAAACGGCACAACGTTAGCAGTATGGTAGACCATCAGTCAAGATCTAGCCACCAACAGCCTCAGCGACAATATATATATATATAGGGCTGGCGGCATCCGGTTTCGGATTTGCCTGTCACTGTGGCAAGCCACAGGACACATGAGCCTACAGAGGGACCATGGGTGGCTTGCGCTGCACCACCCACAGCTCCAACCACATACCTCATATCCAGTGTAAACCCGAAGGAATAAGACCGGGAGGCATGTGGATGGGAGCAATATTTCATCAACGGAGCCGGCCCACACTCCTTCATAGCAAACAAAAGCACGCTCTATTTGGGAATCAAGCGCACACAAGGCGGTGGCTGGACCGTACTCCGCTCCACACTGACTGCATGGAACCACTATTTGATCCCAACAAGGCCACAAGGACCGTGCACCCCGTCCCCTCCTGCAACGACCAACTGTCTCCTGGAGCCAGTATGGACGAGGTAGTAGGTAATAGACAGGTAGGCACCTTGTCAACATGCACATCAAGCGCAGCTATACCGGGGATATCAAACAACAGCCAGTCACTTAAGAGAGAGATACAAAGAAAATAACATGATTAATGCATAAGGAAACGGTGACATAAACCTCAAGTTAATGTGCATATGAAATAAGTTGTTTACAAACGAATCCTAGATATGTTCATGTGGTCAGAAAGTATACTTTACGGAAATGGCACGAACACGAAAATGTTATGGAAATCGAATAAAATTGGCTTAAGTGAGGTGTGCAAGTTAATGGAATAGAGTACAGATAGACAATTATATGAGAAAGAAAAGCATTAATGCAAAATTGAAAACCCACCACCTGAAATAAAGAGACTTAGTATGCAAGCACGCGGTTAGTAAATCGAATGCAGCGTACCTACAAACGCTGCGCCGGTTTTGCCTACGTTCTCTGCAGGACCCGTCATCGCTTCTGTAGTGGTCCCGAGTGGCCTCACTCATGGCTCACTAGGCCTGCCTGACTCAGACACTCGCGGCCGCATGTTCTACAGCCCCATGCGCTTGATGTCGATGGAGCACAACCAGTCGGTGCTTGCCGCTTCCGCAATTGCCACTTCTTCACTGCATGTATGAGGTATTTTTCGCACTTCGGCAACTGCCTTCGTGATCAGATCGCGCAACGCATGCCGATCAACCGCATTCGATTCCAAAGATCTGCAATCATGATTACATATATCTTTTATATATATATATATGTATATATATATAGGTACATGTATGTATATGCATATATATATGTCTATACATATGTGTGTTATGATCGAATTTTTCAGGCGCGACCTGCACACAGTCTGCAGACATAATGCAGATCTGGCGAAAACACTTTGACTGTTTCTCGAACAACCGTTCAGAAATCGACTGGCCTATATTGAACAGCCTCAGGCAGCACGATGTGAAGGCGAATCTGGCGAACACGCCGAGACTTGATGAGACGCAGAGAGCAATTTCTCAGCTGCGAAACGGCAAGTGTGCCGGTCGGACGCGATCCCGCCTGAACTATTGAAACACGGCGGACCCGCGTTTTTGACTGCTGATCGAGATATCGCACATCCCGTCAGTATATCGTCCATGTTGCACTACCGTATTGAAGAACGGATAGCACCTTGGATTTGTATACCACCAGACATAAATTTATATGCATTTACATACTTGTAAATATATATATAGTGTGGTTTGGGCATTTGCTTCGCATGCCTTATGAGCGTTTGTCCCACGGGCACCATATATATATATATACATATATATGTATATATATATATATTTGTATATAATATGATCATGATTGCAGATCTTGGGAATCGAATGCGGTTGATCGGCATGCGTTGCGCGATCTGATCACGAAGGCAGTTGCCGAAGTGCGAAAAATACCTCATACATGCAGTGAAGAAGTGGCAATTGCGGAAGCGGCAAGCACCGACTGGTTGTGCTCCATCGACATCAAGCGCATGGGGCTGTAGAACATGCGGCCGCGAGTGTCTGAGTCAGGCAGGCCTAGTGAGCCATGAGTGAGGCCACTCGGGACCACTACAGAAGCGACGACGGTTCCTGCAGAGGACGTAGGCAAAACAGGCGCAGCATTTGTAGGTATGCTGCATTCGATTTACTAACCGCGTGCTTGCATACTAAGTCTCTTTATTTCAGGTGGTGAGTTTTCAATTTTACCTTAATGCTTTTCTTCCTCATATAATGTCTATTGAGCCATGAGAGAGGCCATTCGCGACCACTACAGAAGCGACGACGGGTCCTGCAGAGAACGTAGGCAAAACCGGCGCAGCGTTTGTAGGTACGTTGCATTCGATTTACTAACTGCGTGTCTGCATGCCAAATATCTTTATTTCAGACGGTGGGTCTGCTATATTGACCTATTTTCCTTTTATCTCATATTAAGGTCTACCTGAACTTTCTTCCATAAACTTGCACACGTCACTGATGCTAATGGTAGTTAATTTCGATGACATTTTCGCGCTGGTGGCATTTGCTTAAAACATATTTTCTGACGTCCTGAACTTATCGCGGATTAGTTCATAACCAAATTATTATATGCGCCTATTTAGTGAAGAGTTATGTCACCGTATATGTATGCGTTATATGATTTGTTTTGTGTCATCTTGCCGTTTCAAGTTATTGGCTATTGCTTGATATCACCGGTATGGCTGCGCTTGATGTGCATGTTGACAAGGTGCCTACCTGTCTATTACCTACTACCTCGTCCATACTGGCTCCAGGAGACAGTTGGTCGTTGCAGGAGGGGACGGGGTGCACGGTCCTTGTGGCCTTGTTGGGATCAAATAGTGGTTCCATGCAGTCAGTGTGGAGCGGAGTACGGTCCAGCCACCGCCTTGTGTGCGCTTGATTCCCAAATAGAGCGTGCTTTTGTTTGCTATGAAGGAGTGTGGGCCGGCTCCGTTGATGAAATATTGCTCCCATCCACATGCCTCCCGGTCTTATTCCTTCGGGTTTACACTGGATATGAGGTATGTGGTTGGAGCTGTGGGTGGTGCAGCGCAAGCCACCCATTGTCCCTCTGTAGGCTCATGTGTCCTGTGGCTTGCCACAGTGACAGGCAAATCCGAAACCGGATGCCTCCAACCATAAACCACGAGGTTACTCCCATCTATATATAATAGTACCGATGACCCTTGTATTAAGAGGATAACGCGTTATCCCTTTATCCGTCATCTTGTACGCATCGATCGCCTCCCTTTTGCCGACTGTTGGACCTCCCAGGTAACGCTTCATTTCCAGCCCAAGATGAGTCTTGTGGACTCCACGTTTTAAGAGCATATTATCCAGCAGTACACATTCTAGTCATGAGCAACTTCGTCGACCCCCGCCAAGTTAACGTTTACCCGCTCCTCCAACCGCGCACAATTCGGTATCCAGTCTTGTACACACGGTCCTTAGGACTGATGCAACGCCCCTTTTTACTCCACGGTATAGCAGACATAAACAAATAGTTCTAGCGTTCGTGGCCAGTGTACAAACTTCGCAGTCAAGCCTGGCTGAATCCCAGTGGAGATCTAAGATGGCTTATTTTGTCAACTTTCGCGAGTTCCTCATTCTCCGGATTTAAGGGATCATCAAGTGGCCATTGGTTTGCCAACAAGACTTTTACTTTGCATAATTTAATCAGAAAATCCATATGATGTGTCCACTCCGCTGAGGTATACCCAGATTCGACTGTATCGTTTCATAGCTGCCAAACGACACAATGATGTAACCAGCTTGATATGGATCAAGCTTTTTCTACCGGATAATAATTGAATACCAACCTTGTGAAATTCCGGGAGGAAGCACTTTAGGAAAAAGTTAAATAAAAGTTGGAGAAACTAGCTTGGCCTGACTAAGTTTACTTTGCTTGGAAAGCAGTTTGTCAGTTCATAGTAATATTTGATGTAACTTGTTGGGTGGGAGCAAAGGTTATTCTTATTGGGAACACCCTTTGGAACAACAATGCCGAACAGTAAGTAGTGCTTGATTGAGCTGGCGTACCTCTGCGGTTGAGGGACAAAACTGTTCGCTTATATTATTATGGCTCGGCGTCATGCCAAGCAGCATCGAGCACATACCGACGCAATACGTTGCACGACCATAGCGCCCCTCATATAGTCAGCAAGGCCTGTAGAAATAAAAATCCCCAAGGTTCCTACGACATTTGAATAGTGAAGCGATCAATAATAACTGGGTGGGATGCAATGAAGTGACTGTTCGTCTCTCACTCACGCATGCCCTTACCTGTCACCCGAGAGATGAGGCAAGAACTTCCCATGCGCTACTCAAGTGATCCAAATAATTGCTGGAAACTGCCCGATCGCTCGCGCAGTGGATCCTCACCAAGCAGCCGTACTGATCGAGGATCAACAATGCCTTGTTCACGTAGGACACTTTCAGTATCACGCACCATAGCTGGACACCGGTCCTTGTTGGGGTACTTGGCTACCATGTACTCACCCGATCCGTGGAAAATGAGACCAGATGATTACCCATACGCAAAATCGAATCAAGATACGCATCCGGTATCATACGAGTCCAGAAGTCACCTACGTGGTATGAGCTTGGACACTTTGAAACGGACAGTGATGGAAAGGAAGGCTGGAGCAATTTCCTACAGAACAATGAACACCATCGTCCCATTTCGAGTAGCGGCATCAATATTTTAGACAATAGTCTCGTTCTAGCTTTGCAACTGCCAGGTACCATGGGCTGGATGTTGCGCAGAAACGGAACTCTAAAATGTATGTCTCCTGAAAGTTCACTGGTCTTCTACTTGGGTGATATAAATCTATTTCCAAAGCGGTAAACGAGCACAACTTCGGTTTTAAGTTTTCCTTTCTTCTACAATGCAGATGTTGGTTTCCGCTTCGTTAAATACTCAGAAGTCAGCCTGAGGCTATCCAATAAAAATGCCTCTGGTTCAGCTACAACGGATAACGTGTAAAGAGTTTTCATTTTACTGTATTTTTGTACCGGCAAAAGGGTGAACAGTTGAGGCGCATACAGTACTTGAAGTCGCAACGTATTGGAATGCACACCTTTTCGACATTGGTAACGCGATATGGCGTCCAACTAGATCTATGTTGCCGATGGTGCCGCGTAAAGTAGTTGCGAACTACAAACTAAATGTTTTCGCCCTCAGTCTAAATTTGTCACGGCTGTTGGAGACGAGAACTTACTAATTAACAGATAGTACATATCCGCACCTTGATCACTTCCACCTGAAGCGCGTATGGAGTCAGTGGAATATATTAAGCCTGGTATTGCTTGCTCGATTGCAATAATCCCTCTCCCCAGATAAGTTGGGCACAGAAGATTATAAACAGAGTTTCAATCCATGAACCTGTCAAGATCATGTTTGTAAAAACACTGAACGCTATAGCAACAGAGTTCGGGGACCACGTTTCGGAATGGGTTAACAACAAATGGTAACAGAGGCATCAGTAGAAACATTATAGTGTTGCTCATCCCAACACTGGCACCCGAAGACCGCGGTTTCGTCCTGGTTGGGACTCATCAGTTCGAGATAGCCTGAGTTGGGCTGGAACTCAGAGCCTAGTGGCTCATGGTTGACACCATAAGCACTATGCCACTGAGATTCACGAGCAACGCTTGATCCAGCGGAAACAGAGGCATCAGTAGTACGGTGGTACGCCATACCGACTGTCTGCTGCCACGCAAGCATTACCAATGGTGCGTGGACTAAGGATACTGTGGGGGTCGCCCGGTCCCTTAATCCGTTACTGCATACTCTTGCCTGTAGGAAATACACTAGCAAATTGTCCTCCAAGTTGCTTTCACAGGATTGTTCATATTAAGAGTAGGTTCCCTTGATAGAAGGCAATCAGCAAACTTTCTCTTTAGACTGCAGATACTCCATGCAGTAAATGGTTTATCAGGCTCGAACCCGCGATCTCCGGGTCGTCCCTTCGTCCACGGGTCGGCAACGAATAGCAACAATCTATGCTGCTCCGGGATCAGACCAGCACACAGCAGCTGAAGCACACGCATTGAAGCATTCTGTAACAGGTAATACAGCGTGCGTATGGTGAATATTATCGCGGTGCGTAAGCATGCTGCCAGATTCGGTGGGTTCGGTCAGCCTCTTGCTTGATAATGGGAACCAAGCTACCCACTACGTATGTAGCTCGAAATCTAATCAACAACGGTTATCAGACGTATGTGGTGCGCCAAACCGATAGTTCTTAACTACGTGTAATTCCGCTGTCTTGTGGCGTTATACACCCTGTTTCTAAACAACGGGGAGGCTTTCTGATGGCACCAACTACTTTGCTGATCCCTCCCAGCAGCTCACAAGCGAGATAACATAAGCACCAATGCGAACCACTGACGAATCTCAGTAGGGCGAAACGGTCGTCTCATGCTATACCGAATTGGTAGTCTGGTAGCTTGTGAACTGACGGGGCGTACATGTAAAATTCAATGAAAAATCTGCCTACTTATTTGTAGCACCAAAAATGTCTACCATTGGTTAACGCTAACCGAATTTGGTGATACCAGGCGATACTTGTTAGGATGGAAGCAGGTCCCCTGGGTACCGTTCTGTTAGTTTACTTGAACGTTTAACTCAATCTGCATCTGTTATTGTTCCCCTTTTTTAACCACTCTGATGCCTTCAAACTGCCAAACACTTAAATACCCATTTAGAATACGTTATACAAAAAATGCACAATTAACTAGTTCATGCGATCATGTTGTACATATTGATCAGGCCATTGAGTTGGACTGCCTCGCACCGTCGAGGAATAAACCGTTTATTTATTTATTCATAGTAGCTGCCCCCGAAATAATTGTACACTCATGTGTAAAGAGCTGTTCATTTGTTCATGTGGTCTGACTTCTAGTTGGGATCAGAGTTCACTTTGAAGTCACAGTTTGGTTACGGAGGCCGTACCTGAAAGAAAAGTTAGGTTTTGCCAGATTACAACACAACAACTGTCATGCAGAGGCTGGCTGTTGACTTCTTCATGCCTAGACGTAGAGTCGTAGGCAACGCTTGTTGTAAAGCTTAAAGACTCATTGACCGGAAGTAAAATCTATGCCGATAAAAGAAAACTGGTGCGCTGACGAATCGGCCGCTACGCGAGCTGCGAACTAAAGATGTATTTTTAATGAGGTCTGATAAGGGGTCGGAAGCGGCAGTTATGAATAAACAGGAGAAGATGAATAGTCTATATTGGATGATCCAAGTAACTTTAAACTATTTGAGAAAGCGCAGATGTCTGTGTTTGAATCTCGCGTTTTTCGCCATCTAGAATTGCTCTTGTAGTAGCGTGTATCCGACGATGCAACTTACAGCAGTTTAAAGGCGAATGGTGCAGTTACACCGCAACTGTATGGTCTACCAAAAATATCTAAGAGCGGAGTGCCACTCAAACCGATCCTCTAAATGGTAAACGTGCCACAACATAGACTAGCTCCCTAGTTGTTGAAAGCGCTTACCTTTTAGAAAAAAATAAAGTAATACCTACGGCCTCAGAGACTCGTTTAAACTGATTAAAGATCTCCACAAGATGGGCCTGTCCGATAAACTGACGTGTTCCTTGGATGTGAATCGTTGTTCACCAACGTTCTGCTGCGCCAAACTGTTGTCTACGTCTGTGAATTAGCAGAAAATTACAAATGTTCCCCACCTATACCGGTTGCATTATTA